TGAAGGGTTCCAGGTTTGATTCCAGCCAAGGGCACATGCCTGGGTTGCGGGCTCGATCCCCAGTAGGGGGCGTGCAGGAGGCAGCCGATCAATGATTCTCTCTCATCATTGATGTTTCTATCTCTCTCTCCCTCTCCTACCTCTGTTGAAGACTCTTCCCTGGCCCGGGCCCTGCGTGCAGGAGGCAACCAATTGATGTGTTTCTTTCACATCAATATTTCTTTCTTCCACTCTCTCTAAAAATCAATGGAAAAATATTCTCAGGTGAGGATTTTAAGAAAGGGGAATAGGTTTATCTCTGCCCATGTAAATGTCATACCAAAGCACATCTTATTTCCTCTGTGACTGATGCCATACTAGTCTTATCTGTCACCAACTGAAGAATGCTTAGCAGTGTCTGGCACATTAGAAGAGTTCAACAAAAAACTGCAATTAATATTAACTGAACTTTAATTTTTTTTTCAGCTTTCTTCTTTTTCTTATTTTTTTTTTTTTAAATGGAACACTTCACAGATTTGCATGGCATCCTTGCCCGGAGGCCATGCTAATCTTCTCTGTATCATTCCAATTTTAATACATGTGCTGCTGAAACAGCTCCATAATTTTCTTGAGTCTTCACTGCAAAGAAGTCTTATTCTACTCTGTCTTTGCTTTACCTTCCTTTTCTCATTCTCAACTGAGTTCTCTCCTTATCTCCAAAAGGAAGAGTGACTTGCAACCTGCTGATAATGAAACGGACAGGGATAATGATACTCTCTGTTAAGACATCGTGCAAAAGTAATTCTGTTCACTAGATTTTTATGGATGGGGCACTCTATATCGGTTATTCACTGGTGATGTAAAGAGGTCTAAAAGAGAAAAAAAATATACATATATATATCAAGTAGGTGCTCAAGAAATTTTAGGTGCCTTCCTATCTCACTTTACATATGAAGACAATGAGGCTCCCAAAACCAAGGAGTGATAACCAGATTCTACAAAAAAGATGGTGTGTGTGTGTGTGTGTGTGGCTATCATCACTTTCCTTTTCCTGCTGCTCATTCGTTTTTGTGTCTTAATGACCCACGTAACAAAATCTCCAGGCTCACCAATGTAGTTGGCATCTGTCAAGCACCTAGATATGGTAACATTTACCGGGATAAACATTTTGGTGATGTCTAACAGTTTCGCTGTCTTCCCCTACAACAGCGGTTCTCAACCTGTGGGTCGCGACCCCTTTCACAGGGGTCGCCTAAATACATCCTGCATATCAGATATTTTCATTATGATTCATAACAGTAGCAAAATTACAGTTATGAAGTAGCAACGAAAATAATTTTATGGTCGGGGGTCACCACAACATGAGGAACTGTATCAAAGGGTCGCGGCATCAGGAAGGTTGAGAACCACTGCCCTACAATTTTATTGTATCTGGTGTGCCAAAAGTGACAGTCCGTCTTTTCAGTCCGCCTCACCCGCAATGGGAGATAACCATTGGTTTGGGGGCCTTGATCATTCTTTAACAGAAAGAACACTCTGGACTCTAACTCATTGGGGGTCTAAAATCATTACAATTGTTATCCCTACTTAAACCTGATCCAATATTGGTACCAATTGGGTGAGGACAACCATTCATTATAATAAATAATCACCAAGAATTTAGCACGCATCCAAAAACTACGATTTGGTAGCGCTTCGATACCCACCCCGAGCTACGGAAACCCAAGGAGGACTACCTGGCTCAGCAAACACCACTTCCAAGAGGTGGGGCTTGGGAGAGGCGGGCCCGGACGTCCCAGCGCGAGAACACGCCCCGACGCATGCGTCCTTCTCAGCCGGTAACTTCCATTTGCTAGATGGGGGAGGCGAGTGGAAAGCAGTCTACAGTTTTTAAATCCCTATTCTTAACCAAAAACTTAATTGTGAACAATACCGTGAATAACTTGCGAGCCTGATTTTCCGAGTTCGGAATTAAGAACACTTGGCCTACACCGCGAACGCAAGAGGTTACGTCTCGTATCTTCCCTGTCCCCTGGGACATGGGTGGTCTAGTCCATTCCCCAGACTTTGGAGTCCTTGCAGCGGGTCGGAGACCGAAGAATTGGGCCAATTGCGACTGAAACGTCTTTGGAAGGAGGAAAGGGGTGCGGGAGCATCCCTCTGAGTCCCGCCTCTCTGTTTCCAAGGCGGTGGTAGGGAAGGGGGAAGTACGACATCCTGCCCTCGACAGCCAAAGGAGCACCCCTCTCCGTGCAAACTGCCCGGAGGGCGGCGGGAAAAGGGCCGGACGGGAGTGGGAAACGAGAAGGAGCCGGGAAGCCGCGCGGGAGGGCGCGCGCGCACCCCTTTTTTAGCAGTGTGGTAGGATCGCACGCATTTCCTCCTATGCGGTTGTG